TTATGACATGATTGTAGCTTTTGGACTGTGATGCTTTTGTAGCAAAAAAGTTTAACTATAACATAGCACTCAGAGTTATTTTATATAACAATAAAGTAAAAACAAAATCTTAGCAGAAAGAAGAAGATTTGTACATGAAAGGAAAGTAAAATATTTTTACCACCAACTTAAACAGTTAGTAGGTCATGAAAATCTGATTTATAATTGCTGTTTGTATACCACCTTATACTTCTTTTTATAGTTCTTTTTATTCCATATCATGGACTTTTGCCATGAGACAATGCAAAGGCTTCGCATTAATTTTGTGATATTTTAGGTGATACATTAGGTTCATGAGTATTCTGATGCTGTACCATCACTGAAGTACTTCACTTTAGTAGTTTGATTTTGACCATATGGACTAACTTTGTAAGAAAACAATGAATTGCTGTTTGGTCATGATGAAGTTGATTAAAATTTATACAACAGCCATTTAAGTTTCTTTTTCATCTTTATTATAAGCAACAAATGAATGTAAGGTTTAATTGGGTTGCCAGCATCCATTTGCATCTTGCATAGAAAACTATAGTTCTCTACAAAATCCATAAGAACAAGACTTAAACAAAACATTAGACCAACACACTTATTCCTTTAGATAAAAAAAATAATTATGTTGGTCTACTGTTTGTCTTGATTCCAATAAATAAGAACTTTTTTGTTTTGATAAAAACAAAAAAGTTCTTATTTATTGGAATCAAGACAAACAAGAAGTGATGAGTAGCTCCACTTTAGTTCAAGTTTAGCGATGCTATTGTTAAAGCTTAAGCTCCAGAAAAATTCTTCTTTAAACAAACTAACGTTAAACATATTTGTTTATGCAATTTTAGATAATTTATGCACATAGAAACAGTTTTATGATAATTTATGCACATAGAAACAGTTTTATTTTTCCATTATTTTGTAAACTCTTTAGATTCATAAAATTTAACAACTTTTTACTTAACAACATCTTCCAAAGGTTATCCTTTTTTTTTGGTAGTATATTTTTTTCATATTTTAACTTCTTAGATTTTTTTAAAAGATGCTCTAAAGATATTTTAGAAGTTTTTTTATTTGACCAACTATCAAAAGTTATTCTCTATTTTTTCCTTCACATGTACTTTTATCTTTTCTTTTAATGCACATAAAAGTTTGTCTAAATATTTTCAGTTTATTCAACTTTATTTTCTAACTTTTGACCTTGCATAATCTTTTAATTAATTTTCATTGTGGACTTACAACATATTGAAGCACTTTGTATCTAGAAATATAGACATTTTCATGGTATAAACTTGTCTCTTTGTTTAGTTCGAAAGCGTCCTTTGACATTTTTTTTATTTTTATTTTACTTCACCTCCTCAAGGCCCAGAAGGCCACTACAGATGAGGAGGCTACTTATTTTGTGGCTATAACCCTCTCTCAACTCTATAACTCCGAAACACAAACCTTGACGAACAAGGCCGCTGCGCAGAAAAAACGAGTTGAGCGCGGTACTACCAGGGATTTTAGGTGTATCCTATTGTTTGATATCTTCAACATCAATGTTTGCAATATCTTATAGTTTTATTCCTCTATGATAAAACAACTAAAGATAAAACAACTTTTCACTACCTTTATTTAAAAATATTCCCATAAAAATATTTTTTCGCAGCAAAAAGCTAAACTTATCTATTGAGGTAAAAAAAACATTCTAAAATAAGGAAACAAAATTGTAACGAAATATTAAGTTTCATTAAATAAACTAAAAAATTTAATAATTAAAAAAAAGAAAAGTAAAAAAAAAAAAAAAAAATTTAATACAACTTTTGTATTCTTTATTTTAGAGTGGTTGGTTTTAGCGAATTTTATGCAAGTTGATGAAAAAAATATTGATGATGAAAATTATCTTTTATAACAATTTAAAAACAATTGAAAGTTTTAATATGGAATTTATTCAAAATTTTTATCAGTTCATATAATTAAGAAACTTATTTGTTATGTACGCTAGAACTATAAAAGAGAATTTTGCTAATTTTTTTCATATGTTTATCGTTTTGCTGTCTTCGCTTTAAAAATGTTATTGCTATATTAGACAATTGATCTCAATACTTATATAAAAGGAAAATAAAAACAGGGTGGCCACTCAAATTTGAAAATAAAATTCCATGACTTTTCCATGACTCTTCATAAACTTTTATGATGAATCACTCAAGTAAAATATTCAGTACTTGCCATGCACTAAGCATTTGCAACTTGGTCATTATAAAAAATGCAAACCAAAAACTAATTGGTAGAAAGTACTGAAATCATGTCTTTAAAAAAAATATCTTTTGCAAAAATATCTTTTTCAAAAAGGACTAGACATACTAGTACTTTTTTTTTGCATCCTGCTCTGTTTAAAAAAATCTAAAAAGTTTTTAAATAGATTTTTTTTTTATCAAAATATTTTATAATTAAATATTAGTATTAATGACTTTTAATTTTTTTACATGAAAAACTTGTT